AACTGACCCCCCCCCAAAAAAAAAAAACTTCAATTAACAACTCAAAAACCGAAGTGGAGTTGTGGTTCAAATGCCCAGTGACAGCATTTAGGCCCTGAGTTCAAATTTTACAACTGACAAAAAAAAAATCTCATTGTAAAGGGTGGTCAAGATGCATTGACTACATATATTGACATGCTAAATAACTGCCTTACCAGTGCTGGTGGCTCTCATCTGTAATCCTGGCTACTCAGGAGACTAAGCCCCGAAGATCAGGGGCAGAAAAGAGATTCCTAATTAAATAAATAAGTAAACTACCTTAATATCCCACTGGTGAGTTATATATAGAAGCCCAACAGGAACTAGAGTTCTTTGTGCTTCCGGATTATATAGCTAAGCCTTTTTTTCCCTGTTTGTACTAAAATTTTCACTTAGAGAAAATATGGGTCATATTAAGTTTCCACTATTCAAATGTCTATTAAAAAAAAAAGCTGTGCCAGGTACCAGTGGCTCGTGCCTGTAATCCTAACTACTCAGGAGGCTGAGATCTGAGGATCACAGTTCAAAGCCAGCCTGGGCAAGAAAGTCCATGAGGCTCTTTATCTCAAATTAACCACCAGAAAACCGGAAGTGGTGCTGTGGCTCAAGTGGTATAGCTCTCTCCTTGAGCTGAAGGGCTGAGGGACAGTGCCCAGGCCAAGTTTGAGCCCCACAACCGACCAAAAAAGCTGTATCTATATTTGGCAAGTAAGTAGAAAATGCTTTATGTTGAGAAACAACACAAGCACTTTATGTATGTATGTGGCATTTTAATTGAATTCACTAGCCCAAATTACTGATTACAGTTTTCTGTAGGAAAATAAAAAAAAAATTTTATTGTGAAAATACGTGCAGAGGGGTTACAATTACATGGGCAAGGTAAATGAGTGCATTTCTTATCAAGCATTGTTGCCTCCTCCTTTGTTTCCCCTTCCCATATCCTCCCCCCCCATCCAGGGAAATAGAAATTTCTTTGCTGGAGTTGCTATCCCTATTAGCTCACCATGTGTAAGTGGTTGCCCATGAGAGCAAGTTTTGTTTGCTATAAGAAAGTTTCAAGTGGGCTGGACGCTGATAGCTCATGCATATGTAATCCTAGCTATTGAGGAGGTTGAGATTGGAGGGTCATGGTTTAAAGCCAGCCCAGGCAAGAAAGTGTGAAATTCTATCTCCAATAAACTACTTGGAAAAAGCCAGAAATAACACTGTGGCTCAAAGTGGTAGAACGTTAGCCTTGAGAAACTCAGAGATGACACCCACCCCCGGAGTGCAGTGCCCATGACTGACAGGAGAAGTTGCCTCGTTGCCCTATGTTCACAAGTGTGACTTCCTTTATGTAGGTCTGGAGGGCGAGCGGCCTGCAAGACTCACAAGAGGTGAAGCTGACAGAGACACCTACAGACGGAGTGCTGTGCCCCGTGAGTAATGCATCTGGATCTGGGGTTGGGTTTGGGATAGGAACTCTGTATTCTTCGGTCCTTGAAGATGCCAAAGTGATCAGAAAAGGTCCTAGTTTCCAATCTCCAGATCAGAACAGCCACATTCCCTGTGTTTCTGTGTGGGAATTATGAAGAAATCTTCTGAGCCCTGAAGACCTGTAACTAGAATAAAACTGAGAACTTAGTGAATCTTTGCTCCTGCAGTAGAGCTGGAGGACAAGGCTTGCTCAGCTGTTACTGCAAAAATAGTGGAAAATCTTGTTTTGAGTAGATGTGCTTGCCTTGACTGAGAACCACAGGTTTGTTCTGGAAGAGTGATGAGTTAGAGGCCATCTGCACTGTTGATCAAGGCCGCCTCATTGAACTAGCATTTAGTAACAGGAAGAATGGGTGTTGTATGTTGAAATTTTCAGGTGAGAATTTTCAAGAGCAGTCTTGTGGAAAAAATATTGCACAAACAACTGAAAGGGGTGAAAGCAAGCCAGCGGCTCCAAGGGATGGAACAATCTAGGCAGAGGCCCTTGGGGAGGAGGCCTGGCTCGTCTGTCTAGGCAGCTGTGGGAGATAAAAGTGTAGGCTACGGTAAGGACTTGGGCTTAATTCTGGGGAAGGTAGTGAGCAGAGTAATAGGATTCAACTCAGTTGGCAGTCTGGCTTTGTAGCAAAAGCAGTTGATTATGAAGTAAAAGGAAGTTACAAAAGAGGTGTACTTTTTGACTTCGCTCCCTCATGGTCATATTTTCTGCTTAAACTGAAATGAACAAATGAGTAAGGGAAGGGTATGCTGCAGCTTATGTGGTCACAAGGGTAGTGGTGAACAAACTTGTGGGTGTTGTGTGAAAAGAGATTCCAATTTTAATGGTATTTATTGAAACCATGTTTGTTACAGGCCGGACAACTCCACTCCATTTCCCATGTTAGCTACAAATACATGCACAATCTAGTAGCCATACTTAGCAAGTTAGTTGTTTTACTGTTACTTAACACAATACATATGAATGTGTTGTTTCATCTTGGAAGTCTCACAGGTATTTTGTGCACATCTCCACTTGAACTAGGTCTGCTAATAGAACAGGGCCTTTTTTGAGCTAAGGTCTTGCTTGCTATGTAAGCTCAGGCTGGCCTTGTTTTTGATCCTCAGTTCAGGTGCTGAGATTTCAGCTTTGATTTTGCTTCTGTGAGCCTGTATTGCCTTTGCCTCTTGGTTCTTCCCATACTGAGCTGGTTTGAGATGAATGCCTCAGTGATGGAAAATGAGGGTATAGGGCTGGGAAGGTGGCTCAGTGGTAAAGCACTTGCCTTGCATGCCTGAGGCCCTGGGTTCAATTCCTCAGCACCACATAAACAAAAAAAAGCTGGAAGTGGCACTGTGCCTCAAGTGGTAGAGCGCTAGCCTTGAGCTGAGGACTGAGGGACAGCGCCCAGACCCAGAGTTCAAGCCCCATCACCGGACCCAAAAAAAGAAAAAGGAAAATGAGGGTACGGTGTAGTTAGAATATGCTTCCTGGGGCTGTGAAGAGTTGGAGTGTTAGTGTGGAAGGGGGGGCGCGTGGTCACAGGGGAGGGGGGAGCAAGCGCCTCAGAAGATGTTTCCCAGTCCTGGGTGGTGATCGGTGATCTTGGTGCATTGTGGGATAGCTCATCAAGAGCTGCATTGTGTGACTTGTCTCCCTTGCTCTACAAACTTGCTCTAAATTGGTGTTTGTCTTTTCTTCCAGCTGGTGCTGACAAGAAAGCTGAGGCTGGGGCTGGGTCTGCAACTGAATTCCAGTTTGTGAGTATCCCCCCTGAGTGCTTTCCATAAGCTGTTGCTGGTACTGGCATCAGCCTGTGGAATATAGGGTGTTAAGTTCTGTTCTTCCCTTTCCCTCAAATTCCAAATAGTCATACAGTACATGAGATGTAGTATGCAAACTTTGATAAATTTATACATTCCTGAAGTGAGCCTTACAAATGAATCACTTCATATGGCAAGTTTGTATTTTCTGTTTCATTATTGATGATCATCATAACTCCCAGATTGATAAAGTAAAATCTGAAATTTAACTAGAGATTGAATAGGCTTCAGAACAAGGTTGGTCTGGAATCAGATTATCTTTGAGGTATGGTCTTAAGTGGACTCCCCCTGCCTCAGTTTCTCATCTGTGATGTAATAAAAGTAATAATTACGTTGAGGTCATTGTGAGATTGGATAGTGTAGGTCATATACACTATATCACCTGCAGTGGCAGTCCTTATAGCACATGACTTAGATCTGCTTGTGTGAAGGAAGTCTGCATAGTAGAAACACAATCATGGCTAGTTCCCAGTCATTCCCACACATATGTATGTGTGAACACTGGGTGGGTGGCCATATTCCCATTTTGCCAATGAGGAAACAGGCCTAGGTGTCAGCACTTTGGCTGCCTGCTTTTAGGGTGTTGCTGGGGGTAATGAGACCAGAAACTTGGCAAGAAAGGAAAAATGGAGTGTGCAACTAACGCCGATGTTCTTTCTCTTGCAGAGAGGGGGCTTTGGTCGTGGACGTGGTCAGCCACCCCAGTAAAGATGGAGATTGTTTTGTGTTGAATAAACTTGTAGCCAGAAAAAAATGTGTCCCTTTTACTTGTATTTCATTGCCTGAACAAGAATGGTTTGAAGGGGGCTGGGAAGGTGGCTCAGTGGTAGAGTGCTTGCCTCGCATGCTTGAGGCCTTGGGTTCAATTCCTCAGCACCACATAAACAGAAAAAGCTGGAAGTGGCTCACATGGTAGAGTGCTAGCCTTGAGCTGAAGTGCTGAGGGCCAGCACCAAGCCCAGAATTCAGGCCCCACAACGGACCAAAAAAAAAAAAAAGAATGGTTTGAAGGTCTGAATGTAAATTGGCAAGATTGGGTTGGTTTGGAGCATTGTCCTTGTCCATTGACATCACTGCTATTAAAACTTGTATTTAGTCTTGTGCCCTCTTCTCTTTGACAGCTCCCTGCAGAGTTGGGTTCAGTGACACTGTGGAAGTGGCTGGGATACTGGCTCCTCCCATAAACTAGTCACATAGACAGTGCCCATAGTGAGGAAATTGTTTCATTGATCTGGAATGAAAGTTTGTTTCCTAATGTCTGGAAAATGCCAGAGGGAAAGGAGACAAATACTTTGAAAATCTTGCCACAGGCAAGGAGAAGTACTAGAGGTGTATATACCAAATTTACGTTTTAAGGCTCAGGTTTGTATGAGACTGGAGGATAATATATGCAAGTTGGCATTGTAGTCTGGTGGTGAGTGAGTGGAGTATATGGGGCCATGAGTTCAAAACCTAATGCTGAAAGGCATGAAAATGTGAAAGGGGGCTGGGAAGGTGGCTCAGTGGTAGAACGCTTGCCTTGCATGCATGAGGCCCTGGGTTCGATTCCTCAGCACCACATAAGCAGAAAAAGCTGGAAGTGCTGTGGCTGAAGTGGTAGAGCACTAGGCTTGAGCTGAAGAACTGAGATACAGTGCCCAGGCCCACAGTTCAGGCACCATGACTGGCAAAGAAAAATGTGAAAGGAGTTGCCCAGACATCTAGAAACATGGAATTTTTCTTTTTGGGGGTCTGGTCATGGGGCCTGAACTCTGGGCCTGGGCGCTGTCCCTCAGCTCTTCAGCTCAAGGCTAGCGCTCTACCACTTGAGTCATAGTGCCACTTCTGGCCTTTTTCTTTTTGCTTTTGTGGTGCTGGGGAATTGAACTCAGGGCCTCATGCATGCAAGGCAAGCGCTCTACCACTGAGCTACCTTCCCAGCCCCCTTTCTAACACTTTCTAATCCCTCAAAAGGAAAAGGTTTTCTCAAGGTCTTTTGTCTATAGCAGAGTAGTTGAGTGAGACCAGGTTTCCAGGGCTGGCTTGTTATGAGTGCTATAGAGGTTTGATGGGAAATGAGTAGAACTTTTCATACTGCAAACAATACCATGAAGGGAGCCCTAGTATAGCTGGTGAGAGCTTAAGAGACCCATGAAGACTTAGCAAGATATCAACTGCCTTGCCTCAAGCAGTATGGTAATATGGTGTAGGTATGTGCTATTGTGGGGAGCTCATCAAGATTAACCCAGGACTGGCCCACTAAGGTAGGGGCTTTCATCCTACAAAACAAGTGTTTTTTGGGTTCTGGAAGTTTGAGAAGCATTTGTGGTGTACTGTGTGCCAATCCTATAGCAAAAAGCTAGGCACAGTGGCTCACACTTGTAATCCTAGCTGTTCAATATGCCAAAAATGCTTGTGAGGCCCTCTACCAGTAGAATGTGGTGTACACCTGGGATCCCAACTACAGGTGAGGCATAAGATCGAGATGCAGGCTGGCCTGGTTTGTAAACCTTAAGGCAAAAAGGGCTTAAGTGGTAGAGTACTTGCCTGGCAAGTGCAGGACTTTGAGTTTAAACTCCAGTACTGCCAAAAGAAAATATATTCTACAGAGGTGGTATTCTAGAGCCACCACAAGTCCTGATAGCAGTGTAATTTAGGCCACTAGATGGCAGCTGATGGTAACTCCATATATACATATCAACTTGGGAGGTGAGCTCTGGAACCTGAACCACCAAGAACTAGAAGCTTGCTTGTCAGAAGCAGTGTTTGGGGATGCTTGTTTCAGCTCGTCAGCCGCCCTACCAAAGATTATTCAAATTTTCAGCTGGCTTGAATGATGTCAAGTGGTTTACCCCATGTCCACATGCCTTACTGAGTTCCACACTGAAATGTTTGCTCCAGCCCTTCTGCTCTCTACCAAGGCCAGCCTTGGTAATTTTCTGGCCCTAAAATGTCATTTTTTCAAGGAGGAGTCTTTTCCCTCATAACTTGTTAAGAGTTTTGTTTGGGGGTGTTTTTTTTTATTTTTTTTTAGACAAGAGCCTTAGTCTGTAACATAGGCTGCCCTTGAACTTAACATTCTGCTTCAGCTTCCCAAATGCTAGAGTTCCAGGCCTGCATTATCAGGCTTGGCTCAGAGTACATACATTCTTCAAGGTCACCTGTGGGGTCTAGGTATATGACTCAAGTGGTAGAACATCTGTCTAATCAGCATTGAAGCCTGGAGTTCAAGCCCCAATACTAATAGGGGGGAAAGCACTAGTGAAACAATAAGGAATCCAGAGTATGTGGATGAAGACAAGCCTGTGAGTCCCTCTGGTAGGTTGTAATACCCCTGCAGTCATTCCACAGCTGGCCAGAAATCTGATGAGTGCTCAGACAGGCTCAAATTTTTGCCCTTAAGCCCCTCAGGCTAACTAGAAAAACTGCAAGAAGCAAATCAAAGGCATCAGTAATACCTGTAATCCTAGCTACCCAGGAAGCCGAGTTCTGAGAATCATGGTTTGAAGCCAGCCCAGGCAAGAAATTCTGTGAGATTTATCTCCAAGTAACCAAAAAGAAGTGGAGCTGAGGCTTATGTGGTGGAGCACTAGCCTTAAGCAAGAAAGCTTTCGGATAGCTTACGTTGTGAATTCAAGCCCCAGGACTGGGAGGGGAAAGAAAAAAAAAAAAAAGGTTTATCAAACTTCCTCATTTTTATCAACTCTTGGTCTGGCTAATTTTTTAAGCCATCACTGCACATCCACAGATATGCAGAATGTGGATTTGTTGGTACTGGCAATCTTAAATTACTGGTAATCTTAAATTAGGAGGCAAGAGTTCTGACAGTCCAGGTTCAAAACCAGCTTCAGCAGAAAAATTTGAGACTCCTATCTCCAACTGACCAGCAAAAAATGAAATGGAGGGGCTGGGAAGGTGGCTCAGTGGTAGAGTGCTTGCCTTGCAAGCATGAGGCCCTGGGTTCGATTCCTCAGTGAAATGGAGATGAGGCTCAAGTGGTAGAGCACCATCTTTGAGTGAAAAGGCCCTGAGTTCAAGCCCCCAAAATACTGGTGCACACACACAAAAGAACCCAGATTTTATCTTGTAAATGATACTTAAGTCACTCCACAACATTAAAGTGGCAGGTGGTGCAGAAAAGGGTAACATCACTGGATGCTGGTGTCTCCCACCTGTAATCTAGCTACTCAGGAGGCTGAGATCTGAGAATTGCAGTTCAAAGCCCAGGCAGGAAAGTCCGAGAGACTCTTACCAGAAAAGCAGAAGTGGTGCTGTGGCTCAAGTGGCAAAGCGCTAGCCTTAAGCTGAAGAGTCGAGGGACAGTGTCCAGGCCCAGAGTTCAAGCCCCATGACTGACCAAAAAAAAAAAGGGGGGGGAGTAACATCCACTGAAGACACAAAGAGTATTAGGTTCTAGTGTCCTCACTGTAGAATAGAGTGGACTGAAATTGGTCTGCACAGTGACACACTGAGGCACGGTGTAGTCATGGGTAAGTGGCTCAATCAATGCTGCAATACACAGGGGCCTGCTAGTGGGGAGGAGAGGGAAATCTATCATTTGATTGCTCAGTTTTAGAAAGGGAAATGAGGACAGAATGAGGGCATGGGCAGGGAGGGGGATGAAAGGGATTGTTTAAAAGTTACAGCCCATAGAAAACTTGGAGCCCATTTCTACTTAAAAGTGCTTTATTGGAAGCCTGCGATAAATGCATGGCACAGGTCCAAAAGAACAGCCTCTGGAAAAATCAGTGCTGCATGGTTTACTGACATATCAAAGAGGCCATTGTGAGGAAAAGGGCATCTTTAAAAGCAATTATTAAATGGGAGAGGATGCCCAAGCTGAGGGACTAAGCAGGCCTCCAAATGGGACAAAACTTACAAACTGTATGAATCAAGTGAGATTTTTAAATCCTGAAGAGTATTGCCTCACCTCCCCACCCCCCAAAAAAGTAATTCTAGTTCATCAAAGTACACAAAAAGTTGGAACTAGGAAGGGGTGACATTTCCCAAAAAGAAATGTTGTCTTATCTGATTATGAAACTATAACCCCACTGTACATCACAATTTATGTGTATGTGTATGTATGTATGTATGTATTGCTGGTCCTGGGGCTTGAATTCAGGGCTTGGGCTCCATTTCTGGGCTTCTTTGTGCTCAAGAATAGCACTCTACCATTTGAGCCATAGCACCAGTTCCAGCTTTTTCTGAGCAATTTATTGGAGATAAGAAACGTATAGACTTTCTTGCCTAGACTGGCTTCAACCAACCAGGATCCTCATATCTCAGCCTCCTGATTGGCTAGAACTACAGACATGAGCCACTGGTGCCCAGCTACATCACCTACATATATATATTTTTTAAATTTTTTTTTTCCCGTCGGTTGTGGGGTCTGAACTCTGGGCCTGGGCACTGTCTCAGCTCTTTTTTTTTTTTTTTTTGGTCCAGTCATGGGGCCTGAACTCTGGGCCTGGGCGCTGTCCCTTAGCTCTTCAGCTCAAGGCTAGCACTCTACCACTTGAGCCACAGCACCACTTCCGGCTTTTTTTCTTTTTGCTTATATGGTGCTGAGGAATCGAACCCAGGGCCTCAGGCATGCAAGGCAAGTGCTCTACCACTGAGCCACCTTCCCAGCCCCTGTCTCAGCTCTTTAACTTAAGGCTAGCGCTCTATCCCTGAGTCACAGTGCCACTTCCAGCTTTTTCTGCTTATGTGCTGCTGAGGAATTGACAGGACTCATGCATGCAAGGCAAACACTCTACCACTGAGCCACCTTCCCAGCCCGACATCATCTTTATAATAACAATTTTTGTTGGTGGTGGTCATGGGGCTTGAACTCTGGGCCTGGGCGCTGTCCCTCAGCTCTTCAGCTCAAGGCTAGTGCTCTACCACTTGATCCACAGCACCACTTCCAGTTTTCTGGTGGTTTATTGAAGATAAAAGTTTCTTGGACTTTCCTGCTGGGGCTGGCTTTGAACCATGATCTTCAGATCTCAGCCTCCTGAGTAGCTAGGATTACAGGTGTGAGTCATGGCGCTGGCTATAACAATTTTTTTTTTTAAGTTAGAGGTTAAGTTTCTTAATATGGAAGCAGTAGACTGGGGGATGGTCAACTAATATTTTGATATCTGAAAATTTCACCTTCCATTGAAATAAAAAACATTTATTTAGATGTTGTCTTGTACCTATTAAGCCATTGCTCTACCATTCAAATATACAAAATAAACATGATATAAATAAACCACAATGTAGAGGCTTCAGTAGCCATCAACATTCCCCCCCCCCCGGTTTTTTTTTTTCCTTTTAAACTCAGGGCCTGAGTGCTATCCCTGAACTCTTTTGCTCAAGGCTAGTGCTCTACTACTTTGAGCCACAGTACCACTTCCAGTTTTCTGGTGGTTTCTCATGTTTTTTCCTGCCCAGGCTGGCTCTGAACCATGATCTTCTGATTTGTCTCCCGAGTAGCTAGGATTACAGGTATGAGCGACTGGTGCCTACCTCACCTTATTGTTGTTATTCTTACATTTATTGCCCTAGTAATGCCTACTTCCAGATCCAAGATAGAGTAGGAAACCTGTGAAAAAAATCCGTCTTCTGTATTTAACTCACCACATCTCTTGGAAGTTATTTCAGATGGCTCCAGATGTGGGATCAAGAGAATGCTGTATGATCTTCATTCAGAAGGCTTTTAGGTATGTTGGATGAAGGCTCCCATGGATGTGAGGTCATTCTATACTGGGCAACTGATGACTCCACAATTATAATACTGTTCTAATGGACAAAAGATGATCTTTCGTTGTTTAGCTGTGTGTGTGTGTGTGTGTGCGCGCGCGCGCGCACTGTGTTCTATACCTGGTTTCATGATAACTGCTCCGTGAAATAAGGATAATTAAGAAGCAGCCCCTTTCTTCAAAAATATTGAAGGGCTGGGAAGGTGGCCCAGTGGTAGAGTGCTTGCCTTGCATGCCTGAGGCCCTGGGTTCAATTCCTCAGCACCACATAAGCAAAAAGAAAAAAAGCCAGAAGTGGC